AGTACTTTAGAATAATGTATTTATGCTCATCGATGGTATATCTGTCAATCGAATCGAAGTGTAGCGCTAGTTTAGTTTCAGAAGACGGAAATGTAGACTTAGAAAATGAAAGACAGAGAGAATAATGTAGCTTCAACAACGTGGAGGAGAATATTTTAGTCAATTAGATTAAGTATAGCAAATTTTTTATTTTAGAAATGGAGAGTGTTTACATTGAAATTAGAAGGAAAGTTCATTCAATTCCTGTATAAAAAATATCCATGTAATTTACTCAGAAGAGAAAAATGTAGGCTTTCATTTAAAGGATAATCTTGCATTATTAAGTTTCATCACAAGATAAAACTACATTGTGCTTTGTCAGATACGTCACGGCAGGCTTTTGCTGAGGGTGCTTGTCAAAAGATAATAAAACTATTTATAGACCTTTACATGAACTTCTACGTTTGAGATGTTTCATTGAAAAATAAACTGGCAATTTTGATAGGTAAGTAAAGGTTGAAACTCCCTTGCATCTTACTTAAACACGCAAGAGAGAAAACATAAAACATGTTATGCAGCTATAACTCATTTGCAACAAGGAACAATATGGCGAGAAACCAAAATCTGCTGACCTTCTTTTGGACGAGCTTATCCAGCTCTTCCTTTAGCTTCATATAGCAGTCAGCTAAACTAGGATCCATGAAAAAGTCAATATAGCCATCCAACATTTTTAGATGTCCAGCCTACACCCAAAAAAAAAAAAGGCATATTTTGTCATGAAAGCAAAAGTCAATTGCTAGAAACTGCAGATGTATCAGTTAGCAAATCACCTGTGTCCCATTAACTAGGGCGCCGCCAAAAAGGATAAGTACTGAATCAGACACACCAGTGGAATCGCATATGAAAACAGAATTAAATTTCACTTTTTCACCAAAAACCAGCCATGGATAAGAAATGGTTTGGTAACGCTCATTCACTGAATTCTGGCCAAAATCATCAATACCAGTAAAAATCTAGAAAATGAATATGATAGGGGTTGGGGGAGTTTAACTTGTACATATCCATACAATACATCTGCTAAGATATAAAAAAGTCAAGTGGATTTATAACTTTGGCATCATAATATATACACACAGTTAAAAATATGACTTCTGTTAAAGAGGCTAAAGATATTAAATGTGCAGTAGCGTCCCCAACTCAATTCAAAGACTTACTGGCTATTCATGAATCTGTGAGAGCATACATGCATCTTCTTTCATATAATTGCATTAGCATGAAAGAACTAGTGGTTGAAGACAGAGGAGGAAGAATCTTAGGGATATTGGTGAAGGTAGTGCTTATGAGAATTGGGGAAAACTGAAATTTTAGCTTTTAAAACTGAACTCAGATCTATTCAGAGGAGCTTCATCTTTTCAATAGGCTTCTATGGCTTTATTAATAATAAACAGAAGAGAGAAATAAAGAGAAGTATGTGCGGTTATTGTTTAGTGTTTTTCCCATTTTTTGATTGGTTTTGAGTCAAGTACCATTTATTCCTATTTTTCAGCAATCTAGTCTAGACAAGAATTTCTTCCAGACCTGATTGTTCCTGTCCATTTCACACAACTCAGAATTCCATCAGGTATCTTTAAACTACATATTTTTAATTCAATCTCTTAATAAAGCAAGATGCTCCCATTAATTTCATACCTTGTTGTTTTGCTTTTCAGGGCTGAAGAGAATAGAGAGAAAATGAGAATAGCTGCCTAAGTCCAAAAAATATCATCTGACACACCAAACAACTCCTCATAGATTTTTTCCCCATCTTTTAATGCTTCCTGGACTTACAATGCCATATGCAAGATTGATCCTGTACTAAGCATATGATATTCACTACAATGATCACTTTCAGCTTTAACAAAGTAGAACAATAACATGAAAAAAGAATCCGTAAAGATCAAGAATGGTTAAAACAACGATCATATTTTACCTCACCTAATCATGAAACAGACAAGGTTATGTATGCATCTTTAAATGTTAAGTTGAAAACTCAAATGTGATTCCACAATAATATTTTTGCTTCTTACAAAGTAATTTCAACATATTGCAAATGAAAGTCTACATGCTCAAGTCTAAGAAGGAAATTACCATCAGAAATGAGCCAATTTAAACAAAAAGGCATCATATAAGTTAAACATTCATTCAAGGTAACTCCATCAATGCCCTAATTCCTAAGAATATGAGCATGGGTTTGCCACTTACTGCATACAATAAAACCTGGCCGTCATCCCTTGTTTTAAATGACATGGACGTCTCCCTGTGCTGTACATGAAGGAATAATAAAATTTAATCAAGTAAAAATTAACTGAAAAATATTATGCCAATTGCCGGAATACATGTCTAAGGAACATTTAGCTTACCACTACAGATGCTATCCCAGGAAAGAGGCCAGAACAAATGACTGAACGAACCATAGATTGATTGTGACTCAGTTTGTTGTTAATGCTTGCATCTGAATCTACTAAGCCTGCATCCTTTAAGATGAAGCTAAACGACCTGAAGAGTCTGGGCAGAGAGGAAATTTCTCCAGCAGTATTCATGAGCAGAGCCTTCTCTTTCAGCTTCTTTCCATCCCTCGTATGCACGGACAAGAGCCATATGATCACTGTAATCTTTTGCAGAAAATCTAGACTTAGCTGTCCCTACCAACTGAACCCAACAGACAAAAGCTATCAGTTTACTCTAATAGTATTATCCTAACTTATGCCAGTGCTTAATCCAAGAAATAGAAAAAGTGAACAGGAACTAAAGATTCATTGGTTCGGTGAACTTTAATGGCTCAACATCTTGCACGACCTCTATACTCAAACCTAACCCAAATTAGTATATGCACATCCGACTACTCAGACAGAAACAAAGTACAGTTAAAAAATGAAAATTCATATTTGGTTCACCGTCCATAAAATGCAAGTTTTCCAACACATTTTTAATAGAAAGATAAATTTAATCAGAAAGACAATAAAAGGATGATAAGACACTACCCAAAAAGAGAAGATTCAGGAGAATGCAAAGAGAGAAAATAGTGGGGAAAACACTAGTGTGGGAAATCTAACTATGCTGCCCAGCCCCTACTCATGTATGATGCTCACACTGTTTTCACAGGAAAAGGGACGCTACTACTGTCATAACTAGCATGTTCAAGACTTCCAATTCTCCACTGAGTTTAATTAACCCCATCCAATACATCTCTCTTTAAAAATGTGATATGAAATAACTGAAGCACAAATTTATTCACAGCCATAACCAAATCCAAACATTCAGATAATTAGCTGACTTACATCCTTGTTGTCTTGGGGCAAAAGGAAAGGATCCCTGACACTTAGGCCAGCAACTATTGTAAGAATAGGATCAAAGCAACGAAATATAGCACCCATAATTAACATTTTTTCCAGCTTGGGATCCACTGGAAGCATTGAGAGAAACTTCCCGAGATTAGAAAGATTTTCCTTCTCATCTAACGCCCCAATCATCTTCAGAAAATCAATAGCATTTTGGACAGCCCGCGGCTCTGGCGCTTGCAGAGCTGCTGATAAGAACTCTCCTATGCTCTCCACCTGCAAACTCTTTATTTGCAAGCAAAGAGAGTTTTAGGGTGTTCTCAGTAGCTCAGGAAGTTGGTATTCAGAAAAAGCTTCATAAACACATTTGGGGTAAAGGCGGTAGCATTCTCCTGGTTGTACACGACCTGCTCTCCCCCTTCTTTGACGAGCAGATGCTTGTGATATCCAAGAAGGTAGTAGACAAGGTGTGTTATTCAAAGCATCATAAGAAGTCACTTTTGCTTTTCCACAATCAATTACAAATACTAACATCATTGATAGTAATACTTGCCTCTGCCATATTTGTTGCAAGCACTACCTTCCTTACATTCGGTGGTGGTTTCTCAAATATGAGTGTCTGTTCAGAAGTTTCCATTGAACCATGGCATGTTAGAAGCAGAACCCTATTAGGATCTCCTAAGAGAGGATGAGCTTTGAGCTGATCCCTTAAACGTCTTATATCCTCCCACCCAGTCATAAATACTAAAATAGCACCTGGCCGTTTCTTCCGACATATATGGCACAGGACAGCTTCAATGAGATTAAATCCTTTGCAATCTGGGGCCCAAGATGCAAGTGAATCACAGGTCCAAGAGCTATAACTTTCAAAACTTGATTTAGAAAGAGCATCCTGTACAACAATCAGAAGGTAATAAAGTCATACTTCCAACATAACAAATGTTATTTTCATTAAGTTTCTAAAGCAAACATAGCATAGACACAAAATTGTAGGGATAACAAGGGCTTGCAGACAAGGTATACCATGTAGCAAGTCTTATATAAGTAATGAATCCATGCCTTCAAAAAGCTCAAAATAAAGTCAGGGCTCCTTTTTATAGTTATTTTGAGTAATGATATCCCATTCTTTAAAAAAATAAGCTCAAAATAAATATTACATGTCACAAGGCATAACATCAGGCTGCATACCCATGAAAGATGACATCTGACCAAACAAGGATCTGAGTTATACCAGAGGTAAAGTAATAAAACCAATAAGAACACCTCCCAGCTGTCATTGAAGCTGAGAACAGTATATTGAGTCATTGACACCACAGTATACCATGGTTGACGCATACTAATGAATCAATAAATCAAACACCATCCATAAGAAAAATTAAAAAACATGATGCATTAACCTACTTCTGTAGGTGATTTAAGTTTGAAGATTACTTTTTAATTAATGAAAGCAAAATTATAATTAAGATAGTACAATATAGACAAGAAAATTTCCTCAAAATTCTGCATAATAAAGCCTTTATCAACTCTATATTCTGCATGGGTGAGAAGGAAATCCCTATAACTATCCATGGGCTCAATACTGATAGGTAAGAATAATTTGGAAAGATAGAAAGTTGAGGGAGGGAGCGGGAATGACTGAGAGAAGAACAGGAAGATAGAGAGAGCAGGAAAGAAGAGAGATTAAAGAGGAGAAGTTGAGAGAGATTGAGAAATAGAGATTGCACTGAATAATACGTCTTCCGTTCATAAAACATCAAAATACAATTATCAGCCTATATATAGACGTCCCTTCCCAAGCTTTTCCCAACGGCTATATTAACTAACTAATCAATTATATCCTAATTACAAATTTATAACAATACCCCCCCAAAGAGATCTTTGCCCTCAAGGATCAGTAACAACAAATTGAGGAAATTGCTGCTGAAACTGATGCAAAGCTGTCCAGGATGCTTCTTCCTCAGGTAATTGCTTCCACTTGACTAAAATTTCAGTAATTATCCTCCTCTTTTTCCGGCCAACTCTTTTCTGCAAAATGCATTCGGGTTCTAAAACAGGAGGTATTTCAAGCCAGTCAAGAGGTGGATGCCTCTGCTTGACTTTAGGATCAGGACATAGCTTCAATAGGGATACATGAAAGGTTGCATGTATTCTAGAATCAGGTGGTAGTTCTAACTTGTACGCCACTGCTCCAACTCTTTGAATCACCTTGTAAGGACCAAAATACCTAGGAGCTAATTTTTGGTTACTCCTAGAAACTGCAGAAAGCTGTCTATAGGGTTGTAACTTTAAGAAAACCCATTGCCCCACTGCAAATTCCCGATTAGATCTGTGTGAGTCTGCCCTTTGCTTCATCATATTCGCAGCACGATGGAGATGATGTTTGAGAACAGCTATCATCTCTTCCCTTGCTGTAAACGACCTGTCCATAGCATCTAGCACACTATTATGAGGTAAATAAGGAGAATGGAGAGGAGGTTTCTGACCATATAGAAGTTCATAGGGAGTAGCCTTAGTTGCTGTGTGAAAAGTGGTATTATACCACCATTCTGCCTGTGACAGCCACTTACTCCACTGCTTGGGCTGTTCCCAACACATACACCGAAGGTAGGTTTCCAAGCAACGATTAAGCACTTCAGACTGCCCATCTGTTTGAGGGTGATACGCAGTGGAAAGAAGTTGCTTTACTCCCAAAACCTGCAAAAACTTTTTCCAAAAGCCGCTAACAAATAAAGGGTCATGGTCACTAATAATTTCAGATGGTGCCCCATGTAATTTATAAACTTGATCCATAAAAATTTGAGCTAATATGGAAGCTGAAAAGGGATGAGTGAGTGGTACAAAGTGTGTGTGCATACTCATACGGTCAATTACTACCCAAATAGTGTCCTTGCCAAAGGATTTAGGGAGCCCTTCAATAAAATCCATAGTGATACTCTCCCATACCTTACTAGGAATAGGCAAAGGCTGTAATAGTCCAGGGGCAGCAACAGTCTCATATTTACACCTAGCACATGTATCACATTGTTTAATAAAATCAGAAATGTCAATTATCATTTTTTTCCACCAAAATAAGGACTTAACCCTCTGATATGTAGCCTGAATTCCTGAATGACCACCTGGTGGGCTTGCATGGAGCCATTCCAATATTTGTTGCCTCAAAGGACGATGAGACCCTATTACCAGCTTCCCTTTTCTTCTTAATAAGCTCCCATCCTAAGAAAAATGACCTTAGATTCCCTCATTCTCTTACGTTTTCTTCCGGATTTCTGAAATAACAGCATCCACATTCCAACTTTCCTTTATCTTCTCAAGCAACTCTGGTGATGATGTGTCTAAAATCATCTGCATAATTTACTGTTTCAGTATTCTTGAGAGAGCATCTGCAACAGAATTTTCATTCCCTTTTTTGTACTGAATCTCATAGTCAAAACCAGCTAATTTAGCAACCCAAAACATCTGAAAACTGATTTTTAACTTCTGCCCTAGCAGATATTTTAGGCTTTGCTGATCAGACCTTATTATAAATCTTTTCCTTTCCAAATATTGATGCCAATGAAGCACAGCCAAGACCACCGCCATCAATTCCTCTTCATATATCGAGAGTTTTTGATGCCTTTCAGCCAAACCCTTGCTAAAGTAAGCAATTGGTTGACCGGATTGCATTAGAACAGCCCCTACCCCTACTCCACAAGCATCAGTTTCAACTACAAATTGTTTCGAGAAATCTGGAAGAGTGAGTACAGGTGCAGAAATAAGGACTTCCTTGAGTTTAGTAAAAGCTGCAGCAGCTACCCTTGACCACTCAAATCCATTCTTCTTAAGAAGAAGAGTTAGTGGCTTAGCTAGAATCCCATAGCTCTTGACAAACCTTCTATAGTATCCAGCCAGCCCCAAGAAAGCCCTTAATTGCTTGATATTTGTGGGTTCAGGCCATTCAGCCACTGCTTGCACTTTCTTGGGATCTGTTCTGACTTGCCCCCCACCAATTAAATGTCCCAAATACTCAACTTCACTTGCTGCAAAAGAACATTTGCTCTTTTTAATAAAGAACTGATGCTGTCTCAAAATAGAAAACACTTCCTTGAGGTGCTGCACATGATCATTAAGATTAGAGCTATAGATCAATATATCATCAAAAAAAACTAACACAAACTTCCTCAAATAAGGACGGAATATACTATTCATAGCCCCTTGGAAAGTTGCTGGTGCATTCGTTAGACCGAATGGCGTAACTAACCATTCATAATGTCCACTGTGTGTCTTAAAAGCAGTCTTTGAAACATCTTGAGGCACCATTCGGATTTGATGATAACCAGCCCTCAAGTCCAATTTTGTAAACCATTTTGCAACACTTAACTCATCAAAGAGGTCTTCCACTAAGGGAATAGGATATTGGTTTTTCACTGTCTTTTTATTTAATTCCCTATAATCTATACACATCCTCCAAATACCATCCTTCTTTTTGACTAAGACAATTGGAGCAGAAAATGGGCTGGAACTCTCTTGTATTACCCCCGTGTGTAGTAATTCCTTGACTAACCCTTCAATAACATCCTTTTGGGCGGAGGGATATCTGTAGGGCTTTAAGTTTACGGGATTGGTACCTTCTTGAAGAACAATAGAGTGATCATGTCCCTCATGAAACGGTGGCAACCCCTTGGGTGCTTCAAAGAGGTTAGGGAACCCTTGCAGTGTGGAATTAATCGCCTCTGGGATTTCCGTACAGGTCTGTACTGAGAAGATTTCCACCTTCTCACGCCCCTTGGGAATTAATTGCAGTAAAAATACTTGGTTAGTAGAAAAATCCTTAATTTCCACTCTCTTTGGTTGCACTACTCGTAGGGTATTGGAAGGCATAGCTTGAAGCTTACACATTTTTCCTTCAAGCCAAAAAAACATGGTTAGAGATTCATAATCCCAGAAAGCATTTTTAATACTTTTGAGCCATTTCAGCCCCAATATTAGATCATAGGTATGTAATTCAAGAATTCTAAAATCAAAAGAAAATTCTAAGCCCTGCATTCTCCATTTGAACCCCTCCCAAATTCCATGCACCTTCAGTCTTCTTCCTCCAGCCACCTCTACCCATTCCTCCTTCGTTCCATCAGCTTGCCACCCGAGTCTTTTTGCCACATTAAAGTCCAAAAAGTCATGGGTGCTGCCACTGTCAATTAGAATATGAAGCTTTCTCTTGCCAAAATACCCTATGAGCCTCATTGAAGAGCCATCATCAACTCCTTCCATAGCGTGTAGTGAGATAAAAGGTTGGGTGTCTTCCCCTTCAACCTCACCCTCTTCTTCCGACTGAGTAACTTCTTCTGGGACATCATTAACCTCAATAAAATGAAGCTGTAATCTCTGCCTTTGTGGGCATCTATGATCCCGTGAAAAATTTTCATGACAGTAGAAGCACAAGTTTTTTCTTCTGTGTTCAGCTTCTTCATCCGCCGAAAGGATTTTCGGGACAGTGTTGACTAATTTTTGATTGACCGAGACACTTTTCTGAGGTAAAGAGGGTGTCTTGGCTTTGGTATGGGCCCCATTACCCATTAGTGCTTTTTTATATGAACCCCACGTGTTTGACTGGAAGGTTTGTGTGGCTGGTGCTGAGGGTTGGGTGGCCGAAATTGAGGTGGCCACGTATCCTCCCCTTTTATTCTGGCTTTTCTTCTCGGTCTGTCTCTGGAATATGATTTCTTGCATTCTCACGAGTTTTCGAGCCTCCCTTAGGGTCCGAGGTTTGAAAAGGTGGACTGGACCCTCATATTCCTCTCGAAGACCCGAGAGGTACATGTCCACCAAATACTCTTCTGGCAGTCGCAGCTTACACGCAAGCATATCAAACTCATCGTGATACTCAGCCAAAACTCCTCGTCGCTTCAAACGAGCTAAATCGCTCATGGGCGTCTCATGAACAGGTCCGAAACGATCTTTCACTTCTTCTATATATTCTTCCCACGTCGGCCAAATTCCTTCGCATGATTTCTCATAAGCTTGATGCCATTGGAAGGCTCTTGGGTCAAGATGCATGCTTGCCATCTTGATCTTGGTTTCTTCTGGCGTCTCGTCAAGCTCGAAATATCGCTCACATTTCAAAATCCACCCGAGAACGTCTTCCCGAGTAAACTTTGGGAACTCCATCTTCGTGAACTGCATGGGCCTCCGGTATTCTCTTCGTTCATACCCCTCTCTGCGTTTATAATCCTCATGCTCATGATGGCGTTCAGCAATCTGTCCATTTCGGTGGTGGCCTTCTCTTTCAGCCTCTCGGTCCCTTACCAAAGACTGAAACTGTTGGGAAAGCCCATCAACCAATTCGGTCAAAGCATCAATCTTTCCATTGTTTTCTTCGATCTTGACCATGAAATCTTCCATCTCTGGTCGGCTTTGTTGGTGTCTGCTACGCGTCTTGACCATGAACCGTAATTGGAGATATAGAAGAGGGGGCTGAGGAGCGCCTGGCTCTGATACCACTGATAGGTAAGAATAATTTGGAAAGATAGAAAGTTGAGGGAGGGAGCGGGAATGACTGAGACTGAGAGAAGAACAGGAAGATAGAGAGAGCAGGAAAGAAGAGAGATTAAAGAGGAGAAGTTGAGAGAGATTGAGAAATAGAGATTGCACTGAATAATACGTCTTCCGTTCATAAAACATCAAAATACAATTATCAGCCTATATATAGACGTCCCTTCCCAAGCTTTTCCCAACGGCTATATTAACTAACTAATCAATTATATCCTAATTACAACAACAACAACAACAACAACAACAAGCCTTTATCCCACTAGGTGGGGTCAGCTACATGAATTGCAAGACGCCATTGTGCTCTATCATTTATTAAGCTTTTAGAAATATTATTAATTAAGAGATCACGTTCAACAACTTCCAAGAGTGTTCTCTTAGGCCTTCCTCTACCTCTCTTAATCGGACTCAAAGTTATATGTTCCACTCTTCTCACTGGTGCCTCCCTTGGTCTTCTTTGTACATGCCCAAACCATCTCAACCGATTTTCTACCATTTTTTCCTCAATAGGTGCCACCCTCACTTTTTCACGTATGTGCTCATTTCGAATTTTATCTTTACGTGTATGTCCGCACATCCATCGTAACATTCTCATCTCTGCTACTCCAACTTTATGCTCTTGCTGTCCCGTTAGAGCCCAGCATTCACTACTATATAACATTGCCGGTCTGATAGCAGTACGATAAAACTTTCCTTTAAGTTTATTAGGCACCTTACGGTCACAAATAACTCCTTTAGCTTTTCTCCAATTAAACCACCCAGCTTGAATTCTATGTAAAATATCTCCACTGATTTCGCCATCATTTTGAATAATGGCTCCCAAATATCTAAATTTTTCCACTTGAGGTATAATTTGATCTCCCAATTTCACTTCCAAATTATTTTCGAATAGTCCTTTACCAAATTTACAATATAAATATTCCGTCTTACTTCTACTCAGACGAAAACCTTTCGACTCCAATGTCCTCCTCCATAACTCAAGTTTGCAATTAACCTCTTCTCTTGTCTCTGCTATAAGAACTATATCATCCGCGAAGAGCATACATTTCGGGATTTCCTCTTGAATATGTTCCGTCAAAACATTTAAAATCAAGTTGAACAAATAAGGACTCAGAGATGATCCCTGATGTAGTCCAATCTTTATAGGAAAATCCTTTGTTTGACCACTAGGCGTTCTTATACTAGTTTTTACCCCCTCATACATATCTTGTATGGCTTTAATATAAGCAATCCGTACTCCCTTTTTTTCCAACGCTTTCCAAAGCACTTCTCTTGGTATACGGTCATAAGCTTTTTCCAAATCAATAAAAACCATGTGTAGATCTTTATCTTTACAACGATACTTTTCCATTAATCCCCTTAGTAGATAAATTGCCTCTGTAGTTGATCTACCTGGCATAAAACCAAATTGATTCTCAGAAATACTTGTCTCCAATCTCAACCTGTGCTCAATTACTTTCTCCCACAATTTCATTGTGTGGCTCATGAGTTTAATCCCTCTATAGTTAGTACAATTCTGAATATCTCCTTTATTTTTATAAATAGGAATTAATGTACTTCTCCTCCACTCATCAGGCATTTTCTTGGACCGTAAAATCACATTAAATAACTTAGTTAACCATCTCACCCCTTTTTCACCTAAATATTTCCACGCTTCGATAGATATACAATCAGGTCCGTTAGCTCTACCATTTGCCATTTTCTTAAGAGCTTCCTTTACCTCCTTATCATGTATTTTTCGATAGAATGACAAATTTTGTTCTCCTTCACCAGTTACTAAATCCTCCAAGTTACTAGATGAATCCTCTCCATCATTGAAAAGTTTAGAAAAATAAGTCTCCCATCTATTTTTAATTTCATCATCTGTAACTAAAATTCTTCCCTCTTCATCCTTAATACACCTTACCTGTTCTAAATCTCTTGATTTTCTTTCTCTACTCTTGGCAATCTTATAAATATTTTGCTCTCCTTCCTTCGTCTCAAGGTTCTTATAAAATTCTTCAAAAGCTTTGGAACGAGCTTCACCCACAGCTCTCTTAGTTTCCTTCTTAGCCATACGGTACCTCTCCCAATTTTCCTCATTGTTACACAAATGTATGGCTTTAAAACAGTTCTTCTTATACTTGATTTTGTCCTGTACACTATTATTCCACCACCAAGACTCCTTATCTCTCGGACCAGAACCTTTCGATTCTCCCAAAACTACTTTTGCAACCTCCCGTATCTTTTTAGCCATATCCTCCCATATGATGTTAGCACTTCCCTGAGAATCCCAAATTCCTTTATCCAAAAGATTTCGCTTGAAAATATCTTGCTTCTCACCTTTTAATTGCCACCACCTAATCTTTGGTGTTACTACTTGTCGACGTTTTTGGATTTTACTCATAATACACACATCAAGGACTAGGACCCTATGTTGTGTCGTTACAGCATCTCCAGGGATCACCTTACAATTTTTACAAAGTTTTCTATCTGTGTTCTTAACCAAAAGAAAATCAATCTGCGACCTTGAGGCTCCACTTTTGTAAGTGATGAGATGCTCATCTCTCTTCTTGAAACAAGTGTTGGCAATCTTAAAATCATACGCCAATGAGAAATCAAGAAGAGTTTGCCCTTCATTGTTTAGCTCTCCAAAACCAAAACCACCATGCACCCTCGCATACTGACCAGCTTCCCTCCCGACATGCCCATTAAAGTCTCCTCCAATAAAAATCTTTTCACTCTGTGGTATGTGTCGAATCAACCCCTCCAGATCCTCCCAAAATAATTCCTTAAGACTGGCTTCTGTCCCGACTTGCGGCGCATAAGCGCTAACAATATTAACAGTCTCACGTCCAATTATCATTTTTAAAGAAATAATTCTGTCTCCAATTCTGCTAACTTCTACAACGTTCTTCTTCCACTCCTTATCTATAATGATGCCTACTCCATTGCGTGCACTTACTTTTCCTGTATACCAAAGTTTGAAACCTTGAATATCCTTAGCTCCTTCTCCACGCCATTTTGTTTCTTGCAAGCAAAGGATATTGATTTTCCTTTGAATCATAACCCCTACAACCTTTACAGATTTACAATTTAATGTCCCAACATTCCAAGTACCAAATCTAATTTTGCTCTTATGGACTAACTTCTTTAGCCGCGTGCGTCCAGAATGACACGGTAGCCCTTGCTCATTTAACACTACATCCGGGCGCCGATGCAGCGGCTCTAACTCACTTATCACTGTACTCGAGCCATGCAGCGCGTTACTTACGGGCAACGACCTAGCATTAACATTATAACGTCTATTGTCCATGTTCATGATAGATTCAACAAATTTTTACATTGGCTGTTGATGGCCTAACACAACCCTCCTCCTTTACCCGGGCTTGAGACCGGCTATAAACATAGGCGGAGTTTATATCCTAATTACAAATTTATAACAAATACCAAAGTGAAAAAAAGTAAGCATATCCATATTCTATAACAAAAACATGAATTCAAACAGCACATCTATGACATGGGCTGAAAAATCAACATATTAACAAGTATCTCTAGCCTTATTTACGAAAGTTCCAAACAACTACATAACAGTACATCTTGACAAACCTGATCTTCCCTAATCCCACCCAAAACATAAAACTATAATGAACAAAAACTCTTGAGAAAAGAACCAAGTTTCCCCTACTCACATCACACACTAACTAGAAGATAACAAACTTCAGAACATTGTAGGAAGAAATTTCAAGAAACTTTAGAGATTCAGAAGCATTTAAAATATTATATTAGAACAGATCCACAATAAACTTTCACAAACACACAGACAAACACATAATGGTAGGAGAAAAAGAAACACTTAAACATCATTAAATTACATGTTATATTAGAATCATGTATTTAAAGTAATTCCCCACCTCCACAAGAGCAGTGATCTGATTCTTCTTTTTTCTTGGTTTTTTCCGCAACTTCTCTTGACCATAATCATCAATTTGGTTGAAAGGAGTTAACTTATATCCAGTCATCTCCAAAACATCTTCCAAAAAATGAGAGCTCACAAGATAGGTGAAACACTGGGCAAAAAAAAAAAAGCACTCAAAACACTTCTCTTTTGGAAGTAAACATTGAAACATCCGATAAGTGAAGAGATTCAATCTCATGGTGGTATTAGAAAGAAAGACATTGAATTCATTTCAACACATCACTAACAAATTTCATACACTGATTCTTATGAAATGCATTGCTTAACCAAAAGGCATAACAAAGAAATTTTGACTAAATCATCATAATTCAGTTTCCAGAGAAGGATTTTGAAAAAAAAAAAAAACTACATCTGAATGCAGTGTGCTGGGATGACACTTGACAGTTACATTTTTGCAATCAGGAAAAACCACTACTTGCAACAACTAATTTATGCATGGATGAATGCGGTGTGTTCTTAGTACTGTTAGGGGAAATGATTTTTGTGTCAGATAACTGAGAGTGTAAAAGTATAAGTTCAAATGGAACCTTTGGTAATAAACAATAATTGGACAATTTTTATAGCATGCGAGAGTAATGAAACTAACAGAAAGTTTAGTCAATTAAATGTCAAAACTGGCTAGTTTGAGGGAGAAAACGTGATTTGGGGCCTTTAGATTGTTTAAAGACAACTTCTGTAGTTATCAAATCACATGCACAACCAGCTCAGCAATTATCCAGCCATAGAGTTGATACATCCTATATAACAGAATGTTTCCACATAAATGCTCGGAAAACTCAAGGGTAGGCTTACCGGAATATGAAATGTTGGGGCACCCCCAAAATAATTAGAAAATAGCCCAGCATTCAATGTGGCACTCATTAAAACCAATCTTAAATCTCGACGATGCGGAAGAAGATCCTTTAACACAATCAGTAAGAAGTCTGAGATGAACAAAAACCAAATAGAGGAACGCATAAGTCTAATTTAGTTGCTTCTTTAGAAGTGTACAAGTCATTAAATTGATATTATTGAATTACCTTCATTCATGCCTCGCTCATGAATTTCATCAATAAAAACATGGGTTATACCATCCAGGTTTCGATCACTCAGCAACCGTCGAAGTAATATACCAGTAGTACAGAAAAGTAGATAGGTGTTTTTCCCCTTCATTCCTTCTAACCGAACTTTGAAACCAACCTATCAAAAAACCTCTGTTGTGGAATAGCGGCAAGAACAAAGAAGTTCCCGATTTTAAAATTTATCTTTTAAAAGCAAAAATAGTTTGACTCTTTACTTTCTTCATGAAAACCAAACTTACTGTTTCACCAAGAGGCTCTCCTCTCTCTGCTGATACTCTCTCAGCCACAGTCATAGTAGATATCCTTCGAGGCTGTGTGCAAATAATGTTACAAAATGCTCCAAGACCAGACTCTATCTCTGACTCTAATACATATTGAGGAAGTTGTGTGGTTTTACCACAACCAGTCTCTCCAAATACTACAATCACCTATCCAAATAATGATTAAGATAAGGCATTAATTTCTTAACTTGCAAAACTCCACATTCAGCTCACTCTTATAGGTAAGCCATACACAATACTAGTGTATTAGACGCAAAGATCACAAGCAAGATCAAATTTATGGAAATTAGAATTTCATCAAGTAAAGATAATCTATTATAAACTTATAAGCAGGGTACGCAATGTTCATATAGTAACTCTGTCACTAATCACAAGGCATCTTATCATGGCAGGAATTTAGACCTAAGTGCATGGTGTCATTTCATTTTGGAAAAAAAAAAACCTTCAAGAAGATTAAGAGATAGGAAATTTAAAAATCAATTTTAATATTTCACTTTTTTCTTTTTGCAGTAATTCATTGCTATTTTGTTATATATTAAGCTGATCATGTGTTGCACTTGGTCTCTGGTTTTACATTTATTTTATTGATTCTTGAAGAAACTAAAAAAATTTCAGAAAGCCTTGACAAAGGGAGGATCTTGTTGCATCTAAGCAGAAAAAACTTAAGATTTCGGAAAGTAATACTATGCTAACAAGTCTCACTTTGGCACTTCATTCATGCCCACTTAGTACAGATGTAACAAAGTTCCACATCCTTCTGGTATTAGAAAAGGAGTCCAAAACCTAAAATGTCAGGCAGTATAAGTGAAATGCTTATTTATGGTAACAACCAGTTCACAAGTGTAATTTAGCAGAGTTACTACCTTCTTGGAATGTGTTAGCTTAACACTGTAGACACACAACACCAATGCAGGAGAAAAAAGGGGAGTTAATATTTTCATGATCTTAACTAAAATCCCATTCTCCATATTTATCCTTATTTCCTAATTTACTAATAATCATATATTTTTGAATC